CCCCCGTGGCCAAACATCTATGGCGCCTCTGCTTGGCAAGATTTAGGGTTTAGGGTTTAGGGTTTAGGGTTGAAAAGGCCTTCGTCGTGGACGGCTACTTGTTGTTTTTGGCATCTGCTTGTTGTTCCCAGCTGCTTGTTCAAGAGATTCTGGGGGGTCGCCTGGGATTCTTACATTTCAGGCCTCCCAAACAAGTCGATGTGGAGGTTTCCGAACATAGGGGTAAACTTTTGGGGGGGCGAATTTCATCGTAAAGCTAAACCCTAAACCCTAAACCCTAAACCCCCAAACCCTAAACGCTAAACCCTAAACCCTAAACCCTAAACCCTAAACCCCAATACCGAAAGCATACTTTGTCGACCTCGTGGTGGAGAATTTCATCGTCCAGCACGCGAGCCGCAGGCAGAGCCGGCACCCCGACACGTTTTCAACGTACTCTGAACCCTAAACCCTAAACCCTAAACCCTAAACCCTAAACCCTACGCCCCTTTCCCGAAGCACTTGCTTTGACAGTACCCTCCGCACTGTGATTTGGGGGTCCATAGGGCCTATAGAATTGGGGGCCGGGCTTCTAGGGTTGGGGATAGGGCTTAGGGCTTAGGGCTTAGGGTTTGGGGTTTAGGGTTTAAGGTTTAGGGTATAGGGTTTAGGGTTTAGGGTTTAAGGTTTAGGGTTTAGGGCTGAGGGCTTAGGGCTAGGCTTTTTTTCCCTGAATCATAAGATGCCGGCGAGCAAGAGCATCCGAATGATCTTCCAGCACGGCATGCCTTAACTGAGCTTGGAACCCTAGCAAAGCTTTTAGGGTTTGGGAGTGTAAGGTTTAGGGTTCAGAGTTTAGGGCTTAGGGCTTGCAGTTTCTTAGGAATTATTACCCTAAACCCTAAACCCTAAACCCTAAACCCTAGTATCCCAAAAAATAAAAATTATTCCCGAGGGATAAGATGCATGTCTGCCGTGTGCACGCACAGAGCCCTGCTCTCGACCGTGGCCTCCAGTCGCCCCTGGTGTTTCCTGGGAGGATGTTGCATGTGGGCTTGCTGGGGTCCTCGCCGCAAGAACCCTAAACCCTAAACCCTAAATCCTAAACCCTAAACCCTAAACCCTAAACCCTAAACAAAACCCTCATCAAGCTTTGGATTCCCCAGCAGCCATGGAGATGACAACCTAAGCCGCTGAGCCACCAAAACCTCACACCTGTGATTAGGGTGCAGGGTTTGATTAGGGTGTAGGGTTTAGGGTTTAGGGTTTAGGGTTTAGGGTTTAAAGAAACCTCTTCAGCGTTGAAGCAGCGTCTACACTCCAAACACCCTCCACCCAGCAATGCACCCCATAATCACTGTCAAGATACCAAACCTTCTTCAACCCTATGTCTAGCCCATAATCCTTAAAAAAGTTAGCCCTATAATGCAAGCCCTGAAAAAGGGCCTAAAGCCCCAAACCCTATAATATCCTAAACCTACAACCCCAAGCCCGAAAACCCAAACCCCAAAACTCTAGCCTTTAACCTCTACAAAGTAAGCCCTCAAAAAAAACCTTGCAAAACGCCCTAAAACCCCAACCCCTAAACCCCAAACCCCAAACCCTAAACCCTAAACGCCAAACCCCAAACCCCAAACCCTAAACCCTAAACCCTACCCCTTCTTTCAGCGCCCAAGTGGCCAGCCCCGGACCCACAGCGCCTGCTCGCTGAGGTACTCCTCCACCAGCACCGGCACTTGGGCTCGATCCTCGTCTTCCTGAGGTGAGCCTCCTTTTTTTGGGGGGGGGAGGGGGGGAGGGGGGGTTTAGGGTTTAGAGTTTGGGGTTTAGGGGTTAGGGCATGTTGGGTTGCTTAAGGGCATTTGGGTGTTTTTGAGGGTGTTTTTTGGGGTTTCTGCAGGGTTTTCGAGGGCGGCTTTGGTGTTTTTAGGGGTGCTTTGAGGTTGTTAAGGCTTAAAACCCGAAAACGCCCTTAAACACCCTAAAACTCGGTGATTTGGCGTTTTTAGGGCTTGATGATGGTTGTGAAGGGTATCTTAGGGCTTTAGGGTTCTGAAGGTCGCGTTAGGACTTTTCATGGCGTTTTAGGGTTTCAGGTTTTTGAGAGTGCTTTAGGGCTTTGGGAAGGGTTTTGAGGGTTTTAGAGTTTTTAAGGGTGCTTTGGGGCTTTGAGTTTTTCAGGGTGATTTAGGGGCTAAAAGGCCGTTTTCGGATTTTAGGGTGTAGGGCTTCAAATGGTAGGAGAACTGGTTCTACCCTTGTTTGAGGACGGCGTGCTCGCAACCCTGCCGCTACCTGCCCATGAGCCTACAAGTGCTAGGGCATGTCCTGTTATAACAAGGTCCCTTTTTCTAGGTACTCGGCCGTCCAATACTCCTTCACATGCAGACTCTCCTACCGCCGTCCCTTTCACGGCCCTTTTGAGGCGTTTCGCGCCAACAGTCAGATCCACGAACAGCAAACCAAACCAGAGCACATAAATAAGCACAAGATGGTATAAAGATGGACGCTTTCCCGGCCCCCTTCTGGCACCGTTTCGTGCCTCTGTTGCGCGCCATGCGTTGCACATGATTCTTCGACCCCTAAACCCTAAACCCTAAACCCTTCTACTCAGACGTCGCTCAGAGTTGGTGCCCACTAAAGAAAGATTAAGAAAACAGAGCCCCAAGCCCTTAACCCCAAGCCGCCGAAAAACTGCGGACCATCGAGAAAGTGCTTACCGAGCGCAACCTAAAGCCCAGAAAACCCCAAATCTCACACACACACACACACACACACACCAACACCACGCAACGCAACGCCACGCAACGCCACGCAACGCAACGCAACACAACACAAGCCTTTAAGCACGGCCAACCTTACACCCTAAACCCTAAACCCTAACCCCTCTTAACTACTGCTAACGAAATGTGGGGGCACGGAGGGAGGGGGGAAGGGTCGGGAGGGCGTTCGAAAACTCTGTCCTGTTTCACCCTGTGCGCCGTTGACCTTGGACTGGCAGGAGCGTTTAGGTTTGAGGGTTTGGGGTTTAGGCGGTTTAGGGATTTAGGGTTTGGGGTTCAGGGTTGAGGATTTAGGGTCCAGGGTTTTGTGTTGCAGGGTTTGGAGTTTGGGGTTCAGTGTTAGGGTTTAGGGTTTAGGGTTTGGGGTTCAGGGCTCAGGCTTTGGGGCTGAGGGTTTAGGCTCTAGGTTTAAAAAAGAAATGGCTAAGAGGGATGACAGGGTTTATGGGGCTGGCAGGGCTTTCGGCCGACCTGGCAACCTGTTGCCGCCTAATTGCATCCAGGAATGCCACCAAACCCTGGCCAAAACTTTAAAACCCCAAAGCCCTGAAACCCTAAAACCCCCAAACCCGAAACCCTAAACCCTCAACCCTAAACTAACCCATTTCCAGCAAAGCTCTTGAACTGCTGACTCAAAACCGAACAAGCACTCAATCCCCCCCCCCCCTCCCGCTCGGTCCCTGAATAGGGTTGGCGGAGAGTTTCCCTACACCCCCACCCCCAAACCCTAGACCCTCAGTTTAGGACCCTCAACCTAAACCTAAACCCTACAGCGGGTTGGATTAGGGCTTGAGCCCCTTCAACCCCTCAAGGCACCAAAGGTCGAGCCGTAAACCCTAAACTGGGCCCTAAACGCTAAACCCTCTCTACCTATGTATATTTAAACCTTAATTAATGGGGTCCTCGTCTGATTATGGTGTTTTGAGGGTTTTAGGATTTAGGGTTTAGGGTTTAGGATTTAAGATTTAGTGTTTAGGATTTAGGATTTTGGGTTTAGGATTTAGGATCTAGGGTTTAGGGTGTCCCAAGGGAGGTCCCAAGGGGTCCCAGCCAGCTCGTCAATGGCCCCAGTTCTGCTGAAGGGCCACCCCCGCGACCTTTTAAATTTTAAAGCAAAACAATATTCGGAGACCCCCATTGGTCAAAACTCTGACCCCCCTTGAAGGGGAAAGTTTGGCTTCGAAAATGTATTGTTTTGGGCCAGTTCTGAGCTTATTTTGGGCTGCTCTTTGGGGTAAAATGGAGGGGCCCCGAAACCGTCGATTGCAGTACTAAACAATAGCATTTTTCATTGCGGATCCTGGGTTCCCCCTTTCTGGGAGGCTTTTTGAAGCCTTTTGGGGCTTTTGAAAGCTATTTGGGGCTGTGGTGGTGCTTTGGGGCAAAAGGGAGTGGCCCCGAAACCGTCTATTTCAGCAACAGCATTTTTCATTGCGGGAGCAGGCAAATCTCGGGTTCCACCCGTTTTTGTGGCTTTTAGAAGCCTTTCGGGCCTTTTTAAAGCTATTTGGGACTGTGGCGGTGCTTTGGGGGCCCCGAAACCGTCGATTTTTTCCTTGCGGGACAAGGCAAATCCTGGGTTCCCCCCTTTTCTGAGGCGCTTTTTGAAGGCTTCATTGCGGGGCCAGGCAAATCCTGGGTTCCACCCCTTTTTGGGTGCTTGTTGAAGCCTTTTGGGGATGGGTTGGTGGTAGATGGCTGTGTTGCGAACCGAATGAGAAAAAACTGTTGGTGGTAAACAAAAAGGTTAGGTAGAAGAGAAGATATAAATTTCAGATGAAAAGGGATTCTAGGAGGGAGGGGTGATGCCAAACACCCTTAGTGAATGCTTTGACCAGAGATGCTGAATCCTAAACCCTAAGCCCTAAACCCTAAACCCTAAGCCCTAAACCCTAAACCCTAAACCCTAAACCCTAAGCCCTAAGCCCTAAACCCTAAACCCTAAACCCTAAGCCCTCAACGCGCCAAAGGCCGAGCCGAGCAACGACGCTGAAGAAGATGCGGTTCATGGTCGCAGCAGCTGACTTCTCGGGCGCCGATTGCGGCTCGTAGAACTGAGTCCCTCGGGTTTAGGGTTTAGGGTTTAGGGTTTAGGGTTTAGGGTTTAGGGTTTAGGGTTTAGGGTTTAGGGTTTAGGGTTTAGGGTTTAGGGCTGAGGGTTGAGGGAGTTAGGGTTTAGGGCTTAGGCCTGAGGGTTTGGCTCAGAGTCCGGGGCTTTTCTGCTATGTGGCAGTATGCTCAAACTGTTGGCAGGGTGTAGCTGAAGAGATTCGGGTGTTCCGGGCTGAGGAGGCCTTGAGTGTACCTGCCCGCGCCCGACGCCAAGAAGTAGATTCCTTGACCTTTCTGATTCTCATGGAACACCTCATCAAGGTCAAGGAGGTAGAGCTCTTTTGTTGCGCTGTTGCACAGCTCCAGCTCCATTCTGGTGTTGGCGGCCCCTATCTCGAGGAAGAAGGGATGAGACGCCAGTGTCAGCGAGCGGGCTTCGTGGAAAAGCTCCTTTACAAGACCCTCAGGAAGGGTCAGCAAGAATTGCATGTGCTCCTGGATGCTGGCCCGAAAGTGGTCCCTCTCCACCAGCCTTCTGACCTTCATCGTGTGGGCAAATGATACCCCGCATGCTCCGCAGTACTTCCTGACAGACTCAAGGATCTGGGCCATCTTTCGTGTCCGCCGAGCGACGTTTGCCATCAGGTTGGTCAAGACACTAATGAACAAGGAGGAGATGATCAGGGACACAAAAGTGGCCAATATGGCCAGCCAGCGTTCGAAGAAGGTGTGGAGCTCTACATTGGCTCGCAGGGAGGATGCCGGCAACCTGGACACGGCCCACTCAACACTTCCTTGGTGGCCCAGTACCCGCATCGTAATCAGGGCACCCTTTTGGGGTTGGTTACTTGAAAAGGGAACTCTGAACCAACAAAAAACAAGAGGGAAAATGGCACCACTGGGCTACGAAGCTTCGCACATATTGCTGGAAGAAGGGGGCCTCGTGCAGACCTTCAACAAATGCCCAGCCATGCTCGACGGTGCCTGCGACAAACCACAGGCTCGCCAGGAAGTGCACTGCGATCCCAAGACCAAACATCAGGCAAAGGACTGGTACAAGAGCAGAAGAGATCCAGCCGTTGAATAAAACCTGCATGTACCGGCAGCAGCTGAACTTCTTCAGAAGAACGAAGGCCTTCCGGAATCGCAGAAGGCGAACGAAACGAACAACCTTCAGAAGACGCCTAGCTCGCAAGGCGCGCAGCAAGCCGGACGCAGCTGGATCTTCGACCTCACCCCCCTCCGGCTGCGAAAGCATGTTGATCAAAAACAGCACCTCCGGTGCCAACATGAGCAGGTCGAAGAAGAACCAAGACCTGAGATATGCCCACGCCACGTCCGCGAGCTTCGTGTGCAGGATGTCGTTGATGTAGACCGCGGTCAGGAAGGATGCCTTGGCAAGGTAGCCAGGTAGCCAGGTTTGGTAAGGTAGCCAGGTAGCCAGGTAGCCAGGTAGCCAGGTAGCCAGGTAGCCATACCACACAATGGGGGGGGTACCCCTTTCTGGCGCGGCCTCTTTCCGCGAGAGCAGGGAGAGACCCAGTCTTCCCAGATCCGGGGTCTCTACATGGAGGTTCATGGGCACTTAGTGATAACAAAAATAATAATGCTAAGAACAACGAGAGTCACAAGAATAACAAAAATAGTACTAGTTCAAAAAAGTGGGTTCTCAAGTGCCCAAAATAAGGTTCTAGGGCTCTAGTATTTTGGGGGGTAGCAAAGGGGTACCCCTTAAAGGTTCGGGAAAACTTGGACACTTAAGGCCGCCACACAATCACTGGGCCACCAACCCTACATCCTAAACCCTGAACCCTAAACCCTGAACCCTAAACCCCAAACCCCAAACCCCAAACCCCAAACCCCAAACCCAAACCCCAAACCCCAAACCCCAAACCCCAAACCCCAAACCCTAAACCCTAAACCCTAAACCCTAAACCCTAAACCAAGATGCTGGCACATCCAGGGCCCAGAAAGCCGTAGTTGTCCAGTTCAAGGCTTCCGTGACTTGCCGCGCCCCTCCCGTAATATCGTACACTTGCAGTGGGGCCGTGACCACCTGGGGGTTTAGGGTTTAGGGTTTAGGGTTTAGGGTTTAGGGTTTAGGGTTTAGGGTTTAGGGTTTAGGGTTTAGGGTTTAGGGTTTAGGGTTTAGGGTTTAGGGTTTAGGGCCTTAAACCCTCATCCGAAAACCCCAATGAAACCCCAAAACCCTTAACCCTCAAACCCTAAAGCCCTCAAACCCTAAACCCCCAAAGCCCCTAAAACCCCTAAAACTCCTAAACCAAAACTCCCAGAAGGTCTCAGCTTCTTCGATGGGGCCTCCAGGAATAAGGCGAGCATAGCCAAGAGATCCCAGACGATCCTCCCAGGAACTCCCAGCTTCTTGCTGTTCGGGACATTCAATTCTGAAGGATTAGGGTTTAGGGTTTAGGGTTTAGAGTTTAGGGTTTAGGGTTTAGGGTTTAGGGTTTAGGGTTTAGGGATCTAAGTTCCGCAACAGCAACCCCAGTTATGGAGGTCAGGGATCACGGGGCCCGGGACCATGAACACAAAGCCCGAAACCTTGAGGATTCAGGCCCTGAACCCGACATTGAGGCCGGACTGGGAGAACCCCGAAGCCCAAACCCTCCTAACCCCTAAACCCTAAACCCTAAACCCTAAACCCTAAACCTTAAACCCCAAACGTCCTAAACGCGAATTTTATCAGCCCCTGGCTTCAGGAAGCCGGGCTGGGAGAACCCTGAACCCAAGCCCTCCTAACCCCTAACCCCTAACCCCTAACCCTAAACCCTAAACCCTAAACCCTAAACCCTAAACCCTAAACCCTAAACCCTAAACGCCAAACCCTAAACCCTAAACCCTAAACCCTAAACCCTAAACCCTAAACCCTAAACCCTAAACCCTAAACCCTAAACCCTAAACCCTAAACCCTAAACCCTCTCCTCCTGGGCTCTTCGGGGTGGATGGCGCAACCTTTGACTTTCTCCGATGACCGCCGGATCCTGCGATGAGCCCCCGAAGTGGTCGTGGGCGCGCGAGGCCTGGGGTGGTTTAGGGTTTAGGGTTTAGGGTTTAGGGTCTAGGGTTTAGGGTTTAGGGTTTAGGGTTTAGGGTTTAGGGTTTAGGGTTTAGGGTTTAGGGTTTAGGGTTTAGGAATTCGGGTTTAGGGTTTAGGGTTCAGGGTTTCGGGTGTAGGGTTCAGGATTTAGGTTGTAGGGTTTGGGGCTTAGGGTTTGGGGTTTAGGGTTTAGGGTGGTGATTTATCTAAGATGTGGGGTCCTGATCACAAGGCGGCCCCTCTTATTTAGGGCAGCCACAAAAGACCATATTCTAGGGAGGTGACTATAAAGGGGTTTAGGGTTTAGGGCATGGGGTTGAGGTTTTGGGGTTTACAGGGGGTTGAGGGTTGAGAGTTTATGTGTTTGCGGGCTTACGGTGGCTTAGTGTTTTGGGGTTCAGGGTTTAGGGTATAGGGTTTATAGGGCCTAAGTTTGTGGTTTCGGGCTTCGGGTTTCGGGCTTCGGGCACAAAGTGCGCCAGGGCCTAGCAGGCTTCACCTATTTTAGCTGCACGCCCGGCGGCGAGGTGACGACGTGGGCTCGCTGCAAGTCGGACAGCGCGTCTTCATCAAGAGCCCACCTGATTTTGGGGTGTAGGGGTGTAGGTTGTAGGGTTTAGGGTTGAGGATAGGGTTTAGGGTTCAGGGTTGAGGGTTTGTTCAAGAAGTTTGAGGTTTAGAGTTTAGCGTTCTGGCTAGTTGCAAGAGGGGTTTACAGTTCAGGGGACTTCGAGGGCACATTCATGTGTTACTGTGGCATTCATGTTGATGCGGGGAAGTTCTGGCATTGGCACTACAAAAGATGGTAACTCCTGTGTAGCAACGCTTACGGCCCCTCCCTGCGAGCGCAATGGGGGTTTAGGGTTTAGGGTTTAGGGTTTAGGGTTTAGGGTTTAGGGTTTAGGGTTTAGGGTTTAGGGTTTAGGGTTTAGGGCTTAGGGGCTTAGGGGCTTAGGGGCTTAGAGCGCGAGGGCTAAGGGCTTGTAGAGTTCAGGGCTTATGAGGTTTGAAGGGCTTATACCGCAAATAGGGCTAAGAGTACAGGGCCTTCAAGGTACCTAGTACCTAGATGTCTACAGGCTTTCTAAGGCTCAGGGGCTATAGGGGCTGCTCTGAGTACTTCCTGTCGTCCATCTTGGGGCCCTAAACCCTAAACCCTAAACCCTAAACCCTAAACCCTAAACCCTAAACCCTAAACCCTAAACCCTAAACCCTAAACCCTAAACCCTAAACCCTAAACCCTACACGCCTAAAGATGACCGAGCTGCTCGATGCCCACTTGGAAGGCTACGTCGCCTTGACGGAGCAGTTCTTCCTCGGTTGGTCATTAGAGACCCTAAACCCTAAACCCTAACCCTAAACCCTAAACCCTAAACCCTAAACCCTAAACCCTAAACCCTAAACCCTAAACCCTAAACCCTAAACCCTAAACCTCAAAAAAAGGAATCAATAACAATCCCCATATTGCCCTCAGAAGGACGGCTTTTTGCTTAAGAACACCTCAAACAAGAAAGAATAACAGTCCCCAGATTGCCCTAAGAAGGAAGACTCTCTTGATTTTTTGGGTGGTTCTTAAGCAAATAACAGAAAATGCTAGTCTATGGGGTCCCTTTAATTATAAGCCCAAAAGATTTCAATGTCCCAAAGTGGAACCAGGCTTCCATGTCAGCAGTGGTTTGTTCGCGCGCCGACTTGCTCAAACCCATCGCCAGCTTCTTCTGCTGGGAAGACAGCGACGCGCGTGAGGCCCGCGATGTGCGAGAGGCGATTGAGGCCTGATGGTTCATTTGCGGCTCGTTGTCACTGGAGACGTTCGATCCAGAAATGGAACCTTTCCTTGGTTGCTAACATCTTTGACATCAATATTAGGAGAATATACTTGATTGAAAAACTGACATCATCTGCAGAGACACAGCACTTTGATATCATTGCTCCTTCGACGCTGCAACGACAAAATCTGCAAGCCTAAGCCCTATATCAGCCCTAAACCCGAAACCCTAAACCCTAAACCCCAAACCCAAACCCTAAACCCCAAACCCCAAACCCCAAACCCTAAACCCTAAATCCTAAACCCTAAACCCTAAACCCTCAGCCCTCCGAGCCTCCTGGGCTTCGACACGGCCAGCTGCTTCGAAGAGAACTTCAGCTTCAGTGACTTCGACCCCCTTGGCGAGCTAGAGGGGTGAGGTTTCCGGGTTTGGCTTTGGGGTTTGGGGTTTGGGGTTTGGGGTTTGGGGTTTGGGGTTTGGGGTTTGGGGTTTGGGGTTTGGGGTTTGGGGTTTGGGGTTTGGGGTTAAAGAGCCCTTCTTGCGCCCAAACGTTGGCACAGCTGATGCAAAACTGAGAGGACTAAAGGGCCGACGGGGAGGTTCAACGGCTGCGTCTGGTCGACTGGGGAACGCAAACAATGTGCCCTAAACCCTAAACCCTAAACCCTAAACCCTAAACCCTAAACCCTAAACCCTAAACCCTAAACCCTAAACCCCTTGCAGGAGCTGGTGCTGCAGCCGTGGCTAGCTTCGTGTAAACCCTAAACTTCCCTAAGCCCGAGACTCTTGACCCTAAACCCTAAACCCGTGACATAAACCCTAAACCCTTCCTTCTTCCTTGCATTCAAAGCCCCCCACCAAAAAAAAACAAAAGGCTTAATTAAGCCTGTCTAGGAATTCGGCGCTTAGGCAGCCGAACTCAGCACAACAAAGCCAAACGAACTTGTCTGGGGATAAACCCGAAACTCAGGGCCGAGGCCGCCCCCCTATGGGGGTCCTGGAGCCCTCGCCAGCCCCAGCGGCTTCAGGCCCGCTCAGGCACGGCCCCTCCCCCCTGACCCCCCCTGGCCCCCTGGCCCCCTCCCCCCACTTTTGGCCCCCCTAGCCCGCCCATGCTGCCCCTTGACTACCCTGACCTTGCCCTGGTCGCTCTGGTTCACCTGACCCCCCCTGACCCCGCCCTGGCCCCCCTGACTCATGAAACTGAGTAAGATTTTAGAAGTGGACTGTTTGTCTGAGTTTAGGCCTAAACCCTAAAGGGAATAGGTTCGAAACCTAACCTTCACAGCATCCACGCCCAATTACACCCTAAACCCAAAACCCTAGACCCCCACACCCACCGCAAGTTTTAGGGCCTAGCACTTCCGCAGCCTCCCCTCCCCAGATTTTAGGGTTAGGGTTTAGGGCTTGGGGTTTAGGATTTAGGGGTTTAGGGGTCTAGGGTTCAGGGTTTAGGACCCTTCGACCATGTTGGGTTTTGGCTTTCGTCTAAGGGTTATTCGTGGCTGCGGAGTCGACTTTCAAGCATTCGGCGTCTCAGGCCTTTCGACAAGACTCAAACGCACACACTCGGGCAAAAATTTTGGTCGAGACTCGGGGGACCCTGAGCCCTAAACGGCAAACGCTACAGGATGTTCCCCCTTATACTATCAGTCCTTAATTGGGATTATAGTACCCCCGATTATAATCCCTAATAAGGACTGGTAGTATATGGGTGAACATCCCAAACTTACCCGAACAACTTCAACAAAATCCTACAATCGCAGTCAGAAGCACTCTCCAGCTTGCCCTCCCACATCTGCTTCGTAGACTTGGAGCAACTTCGTTTGGAGCGCCTCTGTCAAGCAGAGGTATACGGTTGAGGGTTTAGGGTTTTAGGGTTTACAGGATTTAGAGAAGAGAGCGAAGATAGTAACAAGCCCTGTAATTGTAACAATTCTACAGGCTCATTTTCTTCATATCCCGTATGTCTTACTTTTCTTTGCGATCGTGAGAACGCAATAAAATGCAATCGCATAATGATATATGTACGCCCTCATTATCTTATTCACATCGCCCGTTTCTTTGGAGGAATTATTAGATTCTTAGTGGCGCGTAAGGGCTAATCGAAGAGCTGCAAAGAACGTCCGAAAATCCAAATAATAGACAATAATTCCAGTATGATCAGTGTGCTTCCTGCAAACAAGCCTAGGGTTTATTTGAGCCAGCATAGCCGCACCGCCCCCCCCCCCCCCCCCCCCCGCATGGTAATCCCCCCCCGCTCCCCGTGGTTCATGGGTTTTGGGTTCCCCCCCCCCCCCCCCCCCTGCCCCCCCCCTGTGGTTCATGGTCTGTGGTTCGTGGGTTTAGGCTGTAGAGCTTAGGATTTTCACTCTGACCCCCTGGTCCATTGGTTCACTGTGGGTTTAGAGTTTAGGGTTCAAGGTTTGGGGTAATGGTAGGTTTACGGTTTCCCTCATCCCCCCTGTGGTTCATGCTGGGTTTACGGTTCAGGTAAAAGCGGTCAAGGTTTGGGGGGTACCCTTCTCCCCCCTGTGGTTCATTGGCGGGTTTAGGTTTCAGGGCTTCGGGTTCAGGGTTTGGGGTTTAGGTTGAGGGTTTCCCTCTCCCCCCCCTGTGGTCTGTGATGTTTTTAGGGTTAACGGGCTGGGTTTGGGGGGGATACCATGGGCGGGGGGGTCGATTACGCTGAAGCCTCACAGCATGCGCGGGCGTGGCAACCGGATACTTGAGACGTCCTGCGACCTGTAGAGACTGTAGAGGGCGAATAGAGCCGGCAGCAGAAGAAAGGCAGTTGGCCCTCAAAGTTGCGCGTATGGTTTTAACAGCACCCAAGGACACAAGGACTCCTCAAAGGACGCGCGCGTTTCGAGAAATCTAACAGGTCTTGGGCTTAGGGCTGAAATCAATCATTCTCCTAAAGATGGCTCCCAATTGTCGTTCAGACGGCTGAGGTTTCAGCGTTCGAGCGCCTAAGCCCCGAACCCTAAACTCTAAAACCCTAAGCCCTCAGCGCCCTAAACCCTAAACCCTAAACCCTAAACCCTAAACCCCAAACCCCAAGCCCTAAAACTTGCAGAGCGTCTCAAGGTTGAGCTTTCGAGGGAGCTTTCGAGGGAGCTCCGGGGATGCTCAGGGAGCATCACACATAGACATCTATACATATATGTATATATATATACATATATATATATATATGTATATAAAGCAAGATAATTCATGAGAATAATAGAATATATATATATATATATAACAAAATAATTCATTAGAATATATATATATATAGATACATACATATATATATATATATATACATGCATATAAAGCAAGATAATTCATTAGAATAATAGAATAACGGAATATATATATATATAACAAGATAATTCATTAGAATATACATATATAAAGCAAGATACTTCACTGGTGGAAGATAATATATATATATATACTACTTTTTCAACATGAATATAAATATATCTAACAGGCAAAACTGAAAAAGATCGCGTATGCCTATATACCCAGATTCGGGCCATTTCGCAGAGCAAGCAGACTTGGGAAAACCTTAAACTTGAAACCCAGATTCGGGCCATAGAGCCTTTTCGCAGAGCAAGCAGACCTGGGAAAACCTTAACCTTGAAACCCAGATTCGGGCAATAGAGCCTTTTCGCAGAGCAAGCAGACCTGGGAAAGCCTTAAACTTGAAACCCGGGCCATAGTATGTAGTAGTAGTTAACAGATGGTATATAAAATGACATAGATTCCTTGGCTAATATATTCTATAATGCTATGTTTTGTTATACACATAATTCTGTACGATGTTGTGTACATAGTCTAATACTTACCATATACTATATGTATACAATAGATGTGGCACATGAAACACAGACATTCTATATTGCATACTATCACCGCCGCTCCCTTGGATTTACAGCCCCCGACAGCCTAACTAATGATAACTTATGACCCTAAACCCTAAACCCTAAACCCTAAACCCTAAACCCTAAACCCTAAACCCTAAACCCTAAACCCTAAACCCTAAACCCTAAACCCTAAACCTAAACCCTAAACCCATGGTTTAGGGTTTAGGGCTTGGGGAACTGCACCTAGCCCCCAGACCCCAATCCCGAGCTCCTAAACTCGCGGATTGGGGTTCCCAAGTGAAACCCTTAAGCTTTGTTGGGTTGAGGGTTTATGATTGAGGGTTTAGGGTTAGGGTTTAGGGTTTAGGGTTTAGGGTTTAGGGTTTCGGGTTTAGGGTTTAGGGTTTAGGGTTTAAACGCGAAACCCTGCGAGCCTGAATCTGCATCAGGATCTCCACAAAGCTCTGCGTGGGCGCGGCAAGGCTGAACCTCGAGGCGGTCTTGGGGTTGCTGGGTCCTTGTTGGAGTTTAGGGTTTAGGGTTTAGGGTTTAGGGTTTAGGGTTTAGGGTTTAGGGTTTAGGGTTTAGGGTTTAGGGTTTAGGGTTTAGGGTTTAGGGTTTAGGGTTTAGGGTTTAGGGTTTAGGGTTTAGGGTTTAGGGTTTAGGGTTTTTCTAATACCTTAATGTTGCACTGGCCCCCCCCCCCCCCCACAAATTTGGGACCCTCTATACACGCATGGCCCGGCGACCCCCCCAAAACAAATTGGGGGGGGGGGGGGGGGGCGGTTCGAGGAACCGCCCTCAGGGCCTCAAGCTTTCCAGCCTTTGGAGCCCAAAGCCCTCAGGGCTTCTAGCCTTACTGCGTAAGCCCTTAACCCTAAACACAAACCCTAAAAACAAAAATCATCCGAAAAAAACTTGGTATTATAGAGGGTAGCCAGACAAACTTAATAAAGACAGCCTGACCGGCCCGTGGGCTACCTATAACAAAATTTGTTTGGGGTCTCGTTTCGTAATGATTTCCATAAGGCTTTACATGGAACTGGCCGGGCTTCGATTTCTGGATTCTCCGCGCTCTGGCTCTTTAAGATTCCTGGAACCCAAGCCCTCAGCGCTTCAAGCCTTACTGCGTAAGCTCTTAACCCTAAACACAAGCCCTTAAAATAAACGTCCGGAAAAAAACTTGTGATCATAGACGGTACTCCGAACAAACTCGGTTCGTTGAATAAATTTCCGAAACTTGTGATTATAGACCCTCCTTATACTAAAGTCAGTCCAACATTATTGGGTTCTTATGATAGCAAAGATCTAAAACTAAAGCCGACAGGGACCCAGGTTTAGGGTCTAGGGTTGAGGGTTGAGGGGTTCAGGGTTTTGGGTTGAGTTTTCAGGGTTGAGCGTTTCGGGTTCAGGGTTGAGGGTTTCAGGGTTTTGGGTTGAGTTTTCAGGGTTGAGGGCTTCGGGTTCACGGTGGAGGACTTTTATGGTTTGGGCTTGGGATCTGGGCTTTGGAGCTTCTGTTTCGTGCCAAGAAGCGATGCGTCCTCCACACTTCTTGAAGTTCGGTTCTCCCTCTTGACCAACGGACTCCTTGAAGGAACGAAAGTTTAAGAAAGGGAGTGACCCTAAACCCTAAACCCTAAACCCTAAACCCTAAACTCTAACCCCTAGACCCTCGACCCGAGACCCTCAGCCCTATGCCATGCCCTGGATGTATGGTGCGGGTGCCTAAGGGCTATCAGGAGGCTTCGGGTTTAGGGTCTAGGGTTTGAGGCGCAGGGTTTAGGGTTTAGGGTTTAGGGTTTAGGGTTCAGGGTTTAGGGTTTAGGGTTTAGGGTTTAGGGTTTAGGGTTTAGGGTTTAGGGTTCAGGGTTTAGGGTTTAGGATTTAGGGTTAGGGTTTGGGGCTCATTGTTTCGGGTTTAGGGCTTATAGGGCCCTTGGCGAGCCATACTGCATGTGCAGATCAACGACCTCGTGAGTCTGAGAAGACTACTTGGGTACCTAGGAAGTTGGGGTACAAGTACCCTGAATCAGGGTTTAGGGTTTAGGGTTTAGGGTTTAGGGTTTAGGGTTTAGGGTTAAAATCGTTCCCATACTTATCCGCCGACCCCGCTGTTGGGGTCGAGCGGCGGCGAAGCCCTTTGCAGGGCGGGTAGTCTGGTAAGAAGGCTCCGTGTTAGAATCAGATGCCCCAAAGTGACCATAATGTAGCGAACCTCCCATGCAGCAATGACCTCTCACAAGCCTTGCAGTCTACCCTCAACCATAAGCCCTAAACCCTAAACCCTAAACCCTAAACCCTAAACCCTAAACCCTAAACCCTCAACCCTAAACCCTAAACCCTAAACCCTAAACCCTGCCCACAAGTGATGTCTGACTTCATGGCATGGTTATAGAACCCTAAAGGGGACGCTTAGGCTCACGTCTTGGATGTAGGATCTTATGTTTTCTGGCTGATGGCTTAGGGTTGAGGCCTCAAGGTCAAGGATTTCGCGTTTGGGTGTGGGTTTAGGGCTTGGGGTTTAGGGTTCAGGGTTCAGGGTTTAGGGTTTAGGGTTAAGGGTTAAGGGTTAAGGGTTAAGGGTTTAGGGTTTAGGGTTTCGGGTTTAGGGTTTAGGGTTTAAGGTTTAGGGTCTAGGGTGTAATAGGGCGTAGATGCTGTGAAGGTTAGGTTTCGAAACAAGCTCGAAAGCTTCGTGAGGTGCGAAGAGCAGCCTTGGCCCGATTGTGGAGGGCCATCTAACACTTTTCTCCCACCCCACGCCGTCCGGCAAAGCCACCCAAACCTATTCCTTTAGGGTTTAGGCCTAAACTCAGACAAACAGTCCACTTCTAAAACTTTTTCAGCTAATTGCAGGAGGTCTCGAGGAGCGGGGTCTGGCCAGGCACCCCGCAAAAGCGGCTGGGCAAGGGCCAGGACCAGAAAACTGGTCAGGCGGGCCAGCAGGGCCAGAGCGGGCCAGGGGGCAAGGGGGCCCAGGGGCCGCAGACAGCCAGGAAAAACTGATTTTTGAGCCCCCCCCCCCCCCGAAAAGGTTGAGGGACCAGTACTCGACCCCCATGCTGTGGGAGGCGGGCGAGCGACCTGGGTCGGCTTGTGCCATCGAAGTCAAAGGGCTTAAGCGCCGCCCCCCAACGTAGGGGAGCGGCCTAGGCCCTGAGTTTAGGGTTTATATGGTTTAGGGTTTGGGGCTTAGGGTTTCTCGCCAGGACACTGGGGGCTCAGATTCCTCAGCGACGGGGGCGGCGAGCTGGGGGCACGCGGCTCATCGGAGCGAACCTGAATAGCCTCCGCCTCCATGGCTCAGCCAAGCCAAGCTGATGCAAGGGCTTCTCCACGCCTAGGAACTTCAGCTCTAAGGAGGCGCGTTTAGGGTTTAGGGTTTAGGGAGTTTAGGGTTTAGGGTTTAGGGTTTAGGGTTTAGGGTTTAGGGTTTAGGGTTTAGGGTTTAGGGTTTAGGGTTTAGGGTTTAGGGTTTAGGGTTTAGGGTTTAGGGAGTTTGGAGTTTGGAGTTTAGGGTTTAGGGTTTAGGGTTTAGGGTTTAGGGATTCTACGCGGGAGAAGCGCGACGGCTGCGGCCAAAGCAGGAAGCACGGTACGGCCCCTCGGGCAACTCCCACATTCCTGCACACCACAAATACAAGGCTCGCTCTGTCTTGACATGACCAAAGCTGCCACGAAGTACCCGTCTGCTCACGTTCACCCTAAACCCTAAACCCTAAACCCTAAACTCTAAACCCTAAACCCTAAACCCTAAACCCTATCAACCCCAAGCGATCCCCCACTTCAACCCCAAGTTGCCGGAAAGCCTCTCTGCTGCCTGGTTTTCTCCCTCGCGCCCATGCGTGAGAGCCGCCTGTGCATGTACACGAGTCATCGAACGAAGCATCAGCACGAAACATGTCTCAAGCTGGAACTTGGGGAGGGCTGCTGCTCTGCTGCTGTGCCAGTAGGCTGCTCGCACATGGCACTTCTGCTGATGTCTTCGAAGCAATTCTTGCATTCTTTAGAAGCTCACAATCTGCCGGGAACTAACTGCCACTCTCCTAAGGAGAAGGCAATGAAAAAGGCGGAGGGACGGTGCCACAAGGGGTTCTGCGGTATTCTACCCGCCTTGAGTTTATGGCCATGCTTTTTCAGATACAGCACTGAATACAAACCAACACTTCACCGAGGGGGGGGGGGGGGGGGGTTGAGCAGGACACCTGGCGGAGGGTGCTGCCGCTCGGCGGCGTCACATCCTACTCTAGAAGCTCCGGATGCACTCGCTTCCCAATTCGCACTCCGGGCACCAAGCTGCCCGAGTTCCTGAGCTCTGTCTTCACTAACCCTAAACCCTAAACCCTATAAACTCCACCGGCCCCAACTTCAACCGCAGAACTAAGGGATACTCGTGAAGTTGTGAAGGATCCTATTCAAGGCCCGACGATGAGTTAGGGGATGCTGTTCAATGGGTTTTGGAAGGGAACGCCCCCGAATCAGCACCAAAGAACGTCATGCGGTCTTTGTCCCTGAACCCTAAGCCCTAAACCCTAAACCCTAACCCCTAAACCCTAAACCCTAAACCCTAACCCCTAAACCCTAAACCCTAAACCCTAACGTCCGCCATAACCAAACGCGAACGCTAACCCGATCAAAGACCGTGGTCTTTTCTTAAGGCAACCAAATCGCTACGGCACCGTAAGCCACCAAAACCCCAGGCCTTAAACTTACTTGCTGACTTCATAAGCCCCCAAAAAAGTGTACACTTTCAGTTCTATAGGGGATTGTAGTATCCCAACAAGTGCAAAGTGCACTCATTCAGCTTCTAAGCAAACCCTCAGCCGACGTCAAAAGCCCAAGCAACTCTCCGTCAAGCGGACTCTGTTGAAGTGGTAGATCTGAGATCTCGTCCGGGGACAATCGATTCCTGAGATTTCATCAGCCTAAACCTTAAACACCGAACCCTAAACCTTTTTCTCCTACATGTCGTCTCGCCCATGCCCGCGCATGAATCGATCTCTTTCCCATCCAGTCATCACCATGCTGGTCCCATAACCATCTGCATATGTTCACATACCGTATTCCGTTTAAAATTACAGAATTGTATCCCTAGGCTGGCGCATACGAGGCCTCTGTAAACTCTATACCTCGTAGACCTGCTTTGCCCAAATCCTTTCGAGTTGGCTGCTGTGCAGATCTTTCCTTTGCAAACTCGAGGAGTCGTCACCGGATCCAATTCAACTGAAATCTCGTCCGGCGACAGTCGCTTCCCGGGTCCTTAACCCCTAAACCCCAAACCCTGAACGTTTAGGGTTTAATTAGGGTTTAGGATGCGTTTAGGGTTTAGGGCTTAGGGTTTAGGGCTTAGGGCTCATAGGGCTTAGGGTTTAGGGCCCAAACCCTGAACCCTAAACCTTGCGGGCCTTCAGGACGTATAGAAGGGGGGGTTGGAAGGCGGGGGGGGGGGGGAAGGGGGAACCCTAAACCCTGAACCCTAAACCCTAAGCCCTACACCCTAAACCTAAACCCTAAACCCTAAACCCTTTTGAAGGTTTCCGAGGCATGAGACTCTTGGGTGTTGCGAGTTCCTCCTTCGGAAGCTTGGGGCTATTGGGGTTTAGGGTTTAGGGTTTAGGGTTTAGGGTTTAGGGTTTAGGGTTTAGGGTTTAGGGTTTAGGGTTTGGGGTTACACCCTTCGGGTTCAGGCCGTGAATTGAGAGCGCACCCTCGAAGCCCAACAAAATCAGACGGCGATCATCATGGGGTTCCCCTACTAGCCCCCTCTATACTACCCCCGCCCCCTCCTAGGTTCCTCATATTTAAGGCTATTTTAGGGATAATGAAGGCTAATGGGTCTAGGGTTTAGGGTTTAGGGTTTAGGAATTAATAATTAAGGTGACTTAGATCAGGGCCCAAGCCACATCGTCTCCACGAAGGAGCGCGCGTAGACCACAGCCACTGCCTCGGGGCTGGGATTTCAGGATTTAGGGTTTAGGGTTTAGGGTTGAGGATTTATAGGGTTTAGCAGCATTCAAGGGAGGGTTGTTAAGGTGTGTGTGTGTGTGTGTGTGTGTGTGTGTGTGTCTGTGTGTGTGTGTGTGTGTGTGTGTGTGTGTGTGTGTGTGTGTGTGTGTGTGTGTGTGTGTGTGTGTGTGTGTGTGTGTGTGTGTCTGTGTATGTGTGTCTGTGTGTGTGTCTGTGTATGTGTGTCTGTGTGTGTGTGTGTGTGTCTGTGTGTGTCTGTGTGTGTCTGTGTGTGTCTGTGTGTGTCTCTGTGTGTGTGTGTGTGTGTGTGTGTGTGTGTGTGTGTGTGTGTGTGTGTGTGTGTGTGTCGGGCCAGGGCGGGGGGGAGGTGGGTGAAGGGCACTGCTTTCAAGCTGCAGGTGAACATGACAAGGTCAGGTCTCAGGGAGTTCGGGCTGGAATTACGCCTTTGATCCACAAGGAGGTCCTATCTGTATATATATATAGAAATATATGTGTATATACATATATGTGCATCTACATATACATATGCACCATATAAATAAATAAAAACACATACGCATACATATATATATATATATATGTATAAGCATATACGTATATGTAAGGGCATTACAAAGCGTTGTAGAAAGGGGTTGAGATACTGAATATGCCATACCTCACCGACCCCCAAACGGCAGGCAGAAGCCACAAAAACACAATGTTCAGAGGCGCCCCAAGCGACAAACTCCACAATAAGCAAAATGGCAGCTCCGCATTCATTTAGGGTCTCGGATTTCAGCATACATAACGGCCTCTCAGATAACCGAGGGTTTAGGGTTAAGGGTTTAGGGTTTAGGGTTTAGGGCTTAGGGTTCAGGGTTCAGGGTTTAGGGTTTAGGGTTTAGGGTTTAGGGTTTAGGGTTTAGGGTTTAGGGTTTAGGGAACCCTGAACATGGGGTTGAATTCTGCCGGCACGCGAGCGCGTCGGAATGATCCTGCAGCACCGCTCGCATCTCCGTGGTGAGCAAGTGCAAGGCTCGACTTTCCACCGTGGCCTCCATCCGCCCCTGATGTTTCCTTGAGTCTAGGGTTTAGGGTTTAGGGTTTAGGGTTTAGGGTTTAGGGTTTAGGGTTTAGGGTTTAGGGTTTAGGGTTTAGCGTTTAGGGTTTAGGGTTTAGGGTTTAGGGCTTAGGGTTTGGGGCTTAGGGCTTAGGGCTTAGGATTTAGGATTCAGGGTTTAGGCCTGTTTACCTCGAATGGACATTTGGGTTAGTTGGTAGAACACCACTATGAAGGGATAACATTGGTAAGCCCTACGCCCTACACCGTTGATATTAATCTTCTTGAGGGCCTAGAAGAGGATGTATGAAGTAAGATGTGTCTTGCTAGCTAGTATTTCCCCCAAAAAACAGCCCATTGTGCACCCAATCTTGCTGTCCCCAAAATGTAGAAGGAACCACGTATTGTATACGCTCACCAACACGCAACCGTGCCCCCTAAACTCTGAACCCTAAATCCTACACCCTGAACCTCGTATACTTGCTGGCTCTGGACAGGGGATGGGGAGTTAGGTACCTTGCATCCCCCTACATATACCCTGTACGGTAGTATATGGGGTGCCCGCATTCCCTACTAAGAGCCAACCCTAAAACCCTCAAACCCCAAAAAACTCAAACCCTCAACCCTAGACCCGAAACCCTAAACACTAGTTGCTCAGGTCCTCGAAATATAGTTGGGAGGCACAGGGGAATAACAGCAAATACAGGTGGCATGGCAACTTTGAGTTCCGCTGCAAGAACCCAGGAAAAGGCAGGGGTTGGATTTAGGGTTTAGGGTTTGGGGTTTGAGGTTTAGGGTTTAGGGTTTAGGGTTTAAGGTTTAGGGTTTAGGGTTTAGGGTTTAGGGTTTAGGGTTTAGGGTTTAAGGCTTAGAGTTTAGGGTTTAGGGTTTAGGGCTTAGGGTTTAGGGTCTTGCCCCCTGAAGAAGCCGGGGTTGAGAACTCTGAACCCGAAACCCCAAACCCCCAAACCCGAAACCCCTAACCCCCAAACCCTCAACCCCTCAACCCCTAAACCCCTAAAGTTTGGGAGGGGCTCTTTGAGCGGCCCAGCGGCCCTAAACAACCCTAAACCCCAAACCCCAAACCCCAAACCCCAAACCCCAAACCCCAAACCCCAAACCCCAAACCCCAAACCCCAAACCCTAAACCCTAAACCCTAAACCCTAAAGGCGGGCCAGTGGCCAACCTCGGATCCACAAGGACTGCTCACTCAGGTACTCATCTGCCTCCACGGGAACGTCACGCTTCGAACCGGAGTCGGACCGGCGAGTGAGCCGGTCCGAGCCTAGGAGGGGTTTAGGGTTTAGGGTTTAGGGTTTAGGGTTTGGGGTTTAGGGTTTAGGGTTTGGGGTTTGGGGTTTGGGGTTTGGGGTTTGGGGTTTGGGGTTTGGGGTTTGGGGTTTGGGGTTTGGGGTTTGGGGTTTGGGGTTTGGGGTTTGTGGTTTGGGGTTTGGGGTTTGGGGTTTGGGGTTTGGGGTTTGGGGTTTGGGGTTTGGGGTTTGGGGTTTGGGGTTTGGGGCTTAGGGTTTAGGGTTTAGGTGTTAGGGCCACTCCACTCCCTCCCCTCCCCTCCCTCCTCCCACCCCCCTTCTCAAAAGCATCCCCAAGAAGCTGCCTAAAAGGTCCAAGCAGCCCAGGTGTGTAACCTGGTCCGTTGGTTCTGGTGCAACGGCAAGGTTCTCCCGCGTTCGGGCGACCTCGGCTGCGTTTGAAATGTGCCCGGGGGCCTCGGGTTTGGCTTAAGGGCCTTGGGGGCGGGGGTGGGGCTTCCCTCGCTGTCTCGGGCCTGGGGATACTGAGAAGCCTCTGCACAGGAAATCGCCTCATAGGTCAAGTCAAGTAGCAACATTCAGGAATCGCCGAGCGATGATTCCGGCGTTGCCCGATATGTTTCCGGATGCTGCACGAACTTTATCAAAGGGTGTGAACGGTGTTGTCTGCGGCTGGAAGAACTCGGTCCCTTGAAGGTACGTGGCGGCTCCCGACGCCAGGATGTAGATCCCCAGCCCTTTCTGATTTGCGTTGAAGACATCATCATGCTCAAGCAGGTAGAGCTCTTTCCTTAATCCCTCTTCCCCTATAGGAAGAGAAAAAAGGATCCCTTTTGTTCATATAATAAGAAAGCCCCATAACCCAAAAAGTAAAACAAGGATCCTTCTAACACTGATCCGAGTTTCGCCGCCCGGTTGCAGAGCTGGAGCTCCATGGTGGTGTTCGCAGCGCCGATCTCCAGGAAGAAGGGATGGCAGGCCAGGGTCAGAGACCGGGCCTCGTGGAAGAGCTCCCTGACGAGGCCCTCGGGTAGGGTCAGCAAGAATTGCATGTGGTCCTGGATGCTGGCCCGGCAGTGTTCCCTCTCCACCAGCCTTCGGACCTTCATGGTGTGGGCATAGGAAACCCCGCATGTTCCGCAGTACTTCCTGACAGACTCAAGGATCTGGGCCATCTTTCGTGTCCGTCGAGCAACGTCTGCCATCAAGTTGGTCAAGACGCTGATGAACAAGGAGGATATGCACAAGGATGCAAATGTGGCCAAAATGGCCAGCCAGCGCTCGAAGGCAGTATGGAGCTCCACATTGGCTCGCAAGGAAGATGCAGGCAACCTAGACACGGCCCACTCAATGCTTCTCACATATTGTTGGAAGAAGGGGGCCTCGTGCAAACCTTCAACAAATGCCCAGCCATGCTCGACGGTGCCTGCGACAAACCACAAGCTCGCCAGGAAGTGCACTGCGATCCCAAGACCAAACATCAGGCAAAGAATGGGGAGAAGTGAAGAAGACATCCAGCCCTGGAAGAAGGATCGAAAACAATTCTTGTAGCAACCCAACTTCTTCACCAAATTCATGGCTTTGCGGAATCTCATAATGCGAGCAAGCCGGATGACCCGCACCAGGCGTCGGGCTCTCAAGGCGCGGAGCAAGCCCGAGGCTGCCGGATCTTCAGTCTCACCGCCCTCCGGCTGCGAGAGCATGTTGACAAAAAACAGCACTTCGGGCGTCAGCATGAGCATGTCGAACCAGAACCAAGACCTCAGGTACACGCGAGCCACGTCTGCAAGCTTCGTGTGCAGGATGTCATTGATGTAGACCGCGGTAAAGAATGATGCAGGCACGTCCAAGACCCAATAACCCGTGGTCGTCCACTGGAGGATGTCGCCGACATGGCGAACGTCTCCGCTGATATCGTACACTTGCAGAGGCGCGGTCAAAACCTCCCAAGCTCTGTGGGGAAGGGCTTAGGGTTTCTAGGGTCTGGGGTTTAGGGCTTCAAGGGCTCCTACTTGGCGGGGCATCAGTGTCGCCTGGGAAAACGATGTCCTTCCTGGATGCACCTATCAAGGGTTTTGGGCTTATATAGGGTCTAGAGTTTAGGGTTTAGGGTTTAGGGTTTAGGGTTCAGCCAGCCTCGATGAGCAAGGCAAACATGGCCAGGATTTCCCAGACCATCCTCGTCGCTAAACATCAGTTGACAAACCCTCATATAGGGGCCGTAATGATTAGAATAGTTTTTTTTTTTTTTTGGGGGGGGGGGGGGGGTATTGTAATATAATTATAAAGGGACCCAAAGTAGAATAGGGTTTTGGGGGGGTTGTTGTAGTATAATGATAAAGGGGCCCTAAGGGAATACCATTCGTAACTATTCCGACTTCACAGGGATTATGATAGCGGCTACTAGAATCCCTATTCAGGACTGCTCGTATCAGGGGGAACATCCCAACCCCAAACCCCAAACCCCTAAACCCCAAACCCTATGGGGCTCACACCCCTATGTGAGCCTTTGGTCCCCAAGACCGAAACCCCAAAGTCCCTTAGCCCAGTAGCTCTAAAACCTTAAACCCTAGAACCCGAGAAGACTATCTCGAAAACCCACAAAGAACCTAAACAGAACTACAAAAACCTGCAAAACCCTATTTATAACAATGAGCGAACGATACAAAGCAACAAAGTAATACAAAATCCCATGAGAACTCCAAAAAAACAACACCCAAAAAAACAACTTCAGAAACCCATAAACAAAAAGCCATCTACAACACTATAGAACCTGAAAACCCTGAAAACCCTGAAAACCCTGAAAACCCTGAAAACCCTAGACCCTGGACCCTAAACCCTAAACCCTAGACCCCAAACCCTAAACCCTAAACCCTAAACCCTAAACCCTAAACCCTAAACCCTAAACCCTAAACCCTAAACCCTAAACCCTAAACCCTAAACCCTAAACCCTCTCCTCTTGGGTGACTCTGGGCTGATAGCCCAGCCGGGCGCCGAGCGCTCTGTGGCGACGCGGAGCCTTCGAACCGCACCCGAGGTCGTGGTCGCGTGCCGTGGCCTTTGAGGTTTAGGGTTTAGGGTTTAGGGTTTAGGGCTTAGAGTCTTAGAGTTTAGGTTTTAGGGTTTGGGGTTTGGGGTTTAGGGTTTAGGGCTTAGGGCTTAGGGTTTAGGGTTTAGGGTTTAGGTTCAGGTAGTTTTTGATGTTTTTAGGCTTTGTGGGGGGTGGGGGGTGAGAGAGGTTTAGGGGTTTAGGGTTCAGGTGTTATAGGGTCGAGGCGTTTCAGGTTCAGGATTTAGAGGCAAAACGGTCCTTAGTTCTCTTGAGGACTTGCCTGAGGGGGAGGGGGGTCATAGACCCAAAGTATAGGGTCTAGGTTTTAGGGTTTAGGGTTTAGGGTTGACCCTAAACCCTAAACCCTAAACCCTGAACCCTGAACCCTAAACCCTTCAACCCTAAAACCCAACCCTGAAACCCCTGGCTTTTCATGCAATCCGAAGACCCCTAGGTTCCGAAAGGCTTGGCCTCATCCTCAGACCCCTCAGTAACCTTTAGGGCTTGGGGCTTGGGGTTTAAGGTTTAGGGTTTAGGGTTTAGGGTTTAGGGTTTAGGGTTTAGGGTTTAGGGTTTAGGGTTTAGCCAAAACCCTGGTAGCCCTAAACCCTAAACCTATGCAAGCTCTCCAGCTTCTTGCCCCAAAGGGGCATCGTCAGGGCGTTGGCCCTCTGAAGATCGAGCAACTCCTCATCCTCTATCGACCACCTAGGGTTTAGGGTTTAGGGTTTAGGGTTTAGGGTTTAGGGTTTAGGGTTTAGGGTTTAGGGCTTAGGACTCCTCATCCTCTATCGACCACCTACGACGCAGATGTAGGGGTTTAGGGTTTAGGGGGTTTACGGGTTTAAGGGGTTTAGGGGTTTAGGGTTCAGGGTTCAGGGTTCAGGGTTCACGGCTCAGCGTTCAGGGTTCAGGGTTCAGGGTTTAGGGTTTAGGGTTTAGGGTTTGGGGCAGGCTTGATTCCAGGGCTTTTGGTGGTGGGGTTTGGGTTTCGGATCAAAGACTTAGGGTTCAGGATTTAGGCCTGTTCAGGGTTTGGCGGTTTAAGGTTCAAAGTTGAGGGGTGTGGGGCCTGCGCCCTCATGGCCTAAACCCTAAACCCTGAACCCTAAACCCTGAACCGCAGCCAAGCCACTCCGCACCTATTTGGAACGCGGCATCGCCGAGGCGCAGGGTCTCTTCCACGCTTGCGGTATGGAGCTCGTGCGCGGTCTTCGCCATACCTGGAGTTTTAGAGTTTCGGGTTTGGGGCTTGGGCAGTAGTACTTGGGGATGAGGCCTGGGAGAAGCGTCAGAGAACGAGCAGGAAGAAACCTCTAGACTCTAGAGATCTACATGCGTTCATCCCCCGCCCCACCCCCCCCCCCCAAAGGTGAACCCCCCCCCCCCTCACCCTCCCCCTTTGACCAACCCCCACCAAAACTAGAGGGGGGACTTGACCGTGAGGAACTTATGCAACAAATGCCAAAAAATATTCATATATGCATATACATATATATATATATGTATATCATCTGTGTACACTTTCTGTTGTATCGACATTCAAGGTTTAGGGTATACGCGTAAAAGACAGGGCATTGCAACTTCAGTCATGTTTAACATGTACATACAAGCGTTTCGACACAAGTTTCGACAGGTCCCAAAGCACCCTCGATGTACTAGCCGAGGACAAGAGGCCCAGTCGCGAAATTGCAAGCCCAAGCAACATGCAGTGCACGCATCGCAGTCCCGTCGGCCGCATGCATGGCTGCACGCACGTGACTGCATCCAAACCCAGAGACGAGACGGAGACTGGTGCCGTTGTTTCTCCCACAAACTTTTGAAACCCATCATGCGAGCATTGTGCTTGCAAACGGGGGGGGGGGGGGGCTGCCCGCCCAACCCCCCGCGTTTTTTTAAGCCGTGCAAGCTTGCCTCAAAGCAGATGAACCTTTTTCAAACGCATCATGCGAGCATTGTCTTCGCAAATAAGGGGGCAATTTGCAAACACAATGCTCGGCTAAAGGGTTTGAAACAAAGAGGGGGGTTGGGGGGGTTGGGGGGGGTTGGGGGGGGTTGGGGGGGTTTGGGGGGGGGTTGGGGGGGGTTGGGGGGGGTTGGGGGGGGGTTGGGGGGGGTTGGGGGCACCCCCAACACCCCCAACAACCCCCCACACCCAAAACCCCCCAACCCGTTGGGGGGTGCTCCGCTTTTGAAACAGACTCATGGGGAATTGGGGAGGGGGGGGGGGGGGGGGGGGTGAGAACTCCAACCCCGAAACTGTGCACAACAAGCCCAAGCACCCTAATGTTGAACACCGACGCAGGAAGCGCATGGACCCGCGACGACTCCAACAGCAGGGTTGTTCTCGTTTTGTTGGTGCTCGGTGTCACAATAGCAACAACGGTATGACAGCAGGAAAATGTCTGTAATGCCCGTAGCGATAGCTGTAAAATAGCCTCAGCAATATCAATACAGGCGTACTACAAAAACAGCTAGCTGTCGCAAGAATGGGAATGCCAGATAACAATCAACTAGAACAAGAAACCGTAATTGTGGTGTCGACCCTGACAGTACGGATAGCAAAATTCACGTTTAGTTTGACTGGTGGAACTTCCATGAAACTCCAATATCGCTAAATTATGCCAGCATAGACCCGAAACAGTAAGAGACCGTGTAAGCCCGGACGTCCACACGCGATCACAGTGCAAGTACTTCGCGACCCCAGGGTTAAGAAGCCTACATTCCCATTACACACACAGGACATGTTAATGTTCCCTTTTTGTTTTGTATATACAAACACGAAGCGACGACAGCTTTGCATTTTGCGAGTCCATACGGCGAGCGCCATGCCCGCGTTGGAACGCCCAAGTGTTGAAACACTGTTCGGGGAACTTCCAACTGTAGCCAGCTTGAACTAGCTGCAATTTGAGTTCTCATGAAGTTGTAAACATGTCTAGTCAACTGTTATATGTTAGGCAGCTCTTGCATTTAGCAAACTACTCCTTGTTCATGTTGGAATGCAAGTACATGTAACCTTTGTTTGCTAATCAAACCTTTCATCTTCAACACATCCTATTTAACTTTCTTCGAAGAGTGTCCGTAAACGGATTCCCAAGCCGAACAGATTCGCAGAGCTCTCAACCAGCACGTGGTATACATGGCATTGGGATAGTTGTGATGTCTGCCTTTGCAGAAACAGACGTGTAAGGCGCGAAACAATGGGCCCACCCCCCCTCACCCCCAAAAAACGTTCTTCTGATAGGGATTAGGGTGCAGGGGCAATATATCTGTGTCTCCAACATCCCCCTGAACCTTAAACCCTAAACCCTAAACCCTAAACCCTAAGCCCTAAACCCTAAACCCTAAACCCTGAACCCTAAACCCTAAACCCTAAACCCTAAACCCCAGCTCCACTGTCCTGGCCCTGCACCCTGGAGCCCAGCACCTAGTAGGAAATGAGGTAGTTAGGAACCTCAAGGCCCTTCTATTAAACCTTTCGTGACTTTGGGTTTAGGGTTTAGGGGTTATTAGGGTTATTAGAGTTATTAGTGTTATTAGGGTTATTAGGGTTATTAGAGTTGTTAGGGTTATTAGGGTTCTTAGGGTTCTTAGGGTTCTTAGGGTTATTAGGCTTATTAGGCTTATTGGGGTTCCTCCTTCCCGAAGTCCCGGCCCCCAGGAAGGAGTGTGAACTTGCCGCCAAGCAACTGACCATCCTCTTCATGCGTGGATTCCTGCTTTCGGAAGGCTCAATATCGTGCTGGGACAAAACCTGGGAGCAGTCTCCGGGCTCAAGAGCTGGTTCAGGGTTTAGGGTTTAGGGTTTAGGGTTTAGGGTTTAGGGTACTTGGGTACTTGGGTACTTGGGCCGTCCATCAGGGTGCAAGTTTCCCCATTCTCATCTAGACCCAAGAGTAACCTGGGGATTAAAAGGGTACGCTTCTTGGGTTTGAGGTTGTTTCTAAGGGGACCTGAACCCTAAAAAGGCCCGAACAAATTGAATAAGGGCCTACTCTGCGTACTTGTCATAGAGTTTGCAGAAGCTGGTGGCGTTCAGGATATTTGTCCAGGTTTCTGAGGGGGGTCCCCTTACATGCCCCTTATATACCTTAAGGGCCCATACATCAGAACTCTTTAAGGGAGG